ATCTGGTATGAAGTTGGCACACAATTTAGAGGAAATCAATTTTTTTTCAAATTATTCTCATTCTGTTTACTAAACTGGCATGAAACATGAATAATATTGGTATTGAAAGCTGACTTAATATACGATTTATGAATATGGTATGAAATGTGTTTTAACATTGGTATGAAAGCTGACTTAAGTTGTGTATTTTTTTTATCAGAAAATGGTGTGATATCAATGGTCCAATTATGTGAATTGATTGTAGTTTGTTAAATCATCCTTTTTTTTTTGTATGAATTATGACTAATGTTGGTATGAAATTGGTATTTTCTTATAATACCTATTTTTTATAGTAAGAAGGTTTCTTTTTCAATTTTCTCCAACTAGGTTGATGGCAATGCAGAAAAACAAAGAATGATGATGGCGCGATCAGTGAGAGTGAAGTAACTAGGACTGTTGCTAGCAAATTTGATGGATCCCGCATAGCAAAAGAACATGCTCTAGATACCAGCAATTATCCTACACCAAGACTACGGAGATCAAATTTGAGATAGTTGATTGCAGCTTAGACTCTTTAGTATTTCATGTCTTTTTAACTTTTGAACGATATATATTTGTTTTTGATACAGTTTTAAGTATTGAATGATATAGAATATGCACTGTTTTCTTCAAGTCAGTTATCAACTACATATGAATTACAGATTGACTCTCATAATTTCAGGATACTAGTTATATACAGACTGCATATCAATTGGATACAAATTTTTGGATATCAGTTATATACAAACTACATAACAATTGGATACATAAACAGTTTAGTTTTGCTATTTAATTGGAGATCAAAATGAACACCATATAATTGGTATCCAAACTGTATATAGTTGACATCCAATTATTCATACCAACATTTGTTCAACCTAAAGGATCCCATCTATCACCATATTTAATTAATATAGATAAGTAGTCGTCCATCACAACAAAATCAAGATTTTTCAAACAAAAAAAAATTGATTTACTCGTCAGTGACAACAATTTTGGAGAAAAAAAACGAAGATAGAGTAACGTAGAAGAAAATGGATAAAATCAGACTTTTTAATTAATTTTAACAGATTATAGTGAATTAAGGAAACTAAATATTCCTAATTAGTTCGAATCTCCTAAATTTATGCTAATTAATAATTATCATCAATCAATTCAAATTTTATTTACGTAGTTGTCCATCACAAAAAAAAACA